GATTTGTGGGGTGTGGGATTTGTGGGGTGTGGGATTTGTGGGGTGTGGGATTTGGGAGATAGAAGTTATGGGATGTGGGGTATGGGATTTGTGGGGTGTGGGGGAGATATGGCGTGTGGGATATGGGATGTGTGGGATTTGTGGGGTGTGGGATTTGTAGGAGATATGGGATGTGGGGTGTGGGAGATGTCGGATATGGGGTGTGTGGGGTGTGGGAGAAGTTATGGGATGTGGGGTGTGGGATTCGTAGGAGATACGGGAGGTGTAGGATATGGGGTATGGGATATGGGAGATATGGGGTGTGGGTGATGTAGGATGTGGGATTTATGGGATGTGGGTTGTGGGATATGGGAGATACAGGGTATGAGATGTGGGATTTGTGGGAGATGCGGGATGTGGGGTTTATGGGATGTGGGGGGATATGGGGTGTGGGATATGGGAGATACAGGATAAGGGATGTGAGATGTAAGTTATTGGGACACGGAATGTAGGATATAGGATATGGGACGTGGGATATTGGGGTGTGGGATGTGGGAGGTACGGGATATGAGTTATTGGGACGTGGGATGTAGGACATAGGATATGGGATGTGGGATATGGGATGTTGGATGTGGGATATGGGACGTGGGCTAAGAGATATTGGGATATGAGGTGTGGGGTATGGGATGTGGGGTATGGGATATTGGGATATGGGGTAGGAGACATGAAATATGGGACATGGGATAAGGGTTATAAGATATGGGATATAGGACATGGGATATAAGAGGTAAGATACAGGATATAAGATATAAGCCATGGGACATGGGGATATAAGACATGGGACATGGGATATAGGATGTGGGACATGGGATATAAGATATGGGATATAAGACATGGGGTATGGGATATGGGATATAAGATACAGGATATGGGATATAGGGTATGGGACATGGGATATGGAACATGGGATGTAAGATACGGGATATGAGACATGGGACATGGGACACAGAATATGGGATATAGGATACAGGACATGGGATGTAAGATATGGGGTATGAGACATGGGATATAGGATATAGGACATGGGATACAGGACATGGGATGTAAGATACGGGATATGGGAGATGGGATATGGGACATAAGACATGGGATATGGGACATGGGATGTAAGATACAGGATATGGGATGTAAGATGGGATATAGGGTATGGGATATGGGATATAGGGTATGGGATATGGGACATGGGATGTAAGATACGGGATATGAGACATGGGACATGGGATATGGGACATAGAATATGGGATGTAGGATATAGGATATGGGATATAGGACATGGGATGTAAGATATGGGATACAGGACATGGGATGTAAGATATGGGGTATGAGACATGGGATATGGGATACAGGATATGGGATATAGGACATGGGATACAGGACATGGGATGTAAGATATGGGATACAGGACATGGGACATGGGATACAGGATATGGGATATAGGACATGGGATACAGGACATGGGATGTAAGATATGGGATATAGGACATGGGATATGGGATATAGGACATGGGATATAGGATATAGGACATGAGATATAGGATATAGGACATGAGATACAGGATATGGAATATAGGATATGGGATACAGGACATGGGATATGGGATATGGGACATGGGATATGGGATATGGGACATGGGATGTAAGATATGGGATATGGGACATGGGATGTAAGATATGGGATACAGGACATGGGATGTAAGACACGGACACGGGACGGTGCCCATCAGTGTGGCCACCCTCTGTGTGCTCACAGCTCCTCCCCCACACCGGGGGCTGGGGGCAGGAAACGTCGCAGCCTTGCTGGGGGTGTGGGGTGGGGGGTCGTTGCGCTGAGCCCCGCTGAGCTGCGCTGTTTGTAGGGACCTGGACCTGAAGAAACCCATCTACCAGCGGACCGCAGCCTACGGCCACTTCGGTAGGGACAGCTTCCCCTGGGAGGTGCCCAGGAAGCTCAAATACTGACGGCTGTGAGGCCCTTTTCCCCCACTCCTGCTGGCGTAGCCTACAGAGAAGCTTTCAGGCTCTTGGGGGAAAAGCCCCCCCTCCCCATCCT